CCAATGCCTGCTGGTCCCCTCTGACTAGTTTGTAAATGGCCACTAGATCCCCCCTCAGCCTCCTCTTGTGGAGGCTGAACAGGTTCAGGTCCTTTAGCCTCTCCTTGTAGGGCCTGCCCTGCTGACCCCTGATCATGCGGGTGGCCCTCCTCTGGACCCTCTCGATGTTGTCCACATCTGTCCTGAAGTGTGGTGCCCAGAACTGGACACAGTACTCCAACTGCTGCCTGACCAGTGTCGCAGAGAGGGGGAGGATCACCTCCTTGGACCTGCTCGAGATGCATTTGTGGATGCATGACTAAGTATGGTTGGTCTTCCTGACCGCTTCCCCACACTGTCGGCCCATGTTCATTTTGGCATCAATAATGACTCCAAAATCCTTTTCTGCCTCTGCACTGACGAGAAGGGAGTTCCCCAGCCTGTAGGTATGCTGCTGGTTCTTCCTCCCCAGGTGTAGCACCTTGCACTTGTCAGTGTTGAAACCCATCCTGTTCTCATCCGCCCACCCCTGTCACCTGTCTAGGTCTGACTGCAGCCTATTCCTCCCTTCTAGCATGCCCATTTCTCCCCACATCTTAGTGTCGTCTGCGAATTTGAACAGGGTGCTTTTTACCCCCTCGTCCAAGTCACTGATGAAGATGTTGAACAGTGCAGGCCCGAGGACCGAGCCCTGGGGGCCCCCACTGCCCACATCCCTCCAGGTTGAATAAGACCCATCCAGCACCACTCTCTGGTTGTGGCCCTCCAACCAGTTAGTGACCCATTTGACTTTGTAGGTGTCAACGCCACAGTCCCCTAGTTTTTTAATGAGAATGGGTCATATAAACAAGATAAAGGGAGAAAGAAGGGCTGAATAAATTAGATGGCATATATCCAGTTAGCACCTAGGGACTGAGCCTAGTATTATTCTTAAGGACAATTTAAGGAGAGAACAGGCCACATCTGTCCCTCCAAAACTGAGCATGTAGCTGTAGAAGCTGAATCTGGCAGAACTGTGACCTCACCAATATAAGGCAATGAGCAGTGTCTGTCCTGGTCAGCAGATTCCATGGACGCAATAAACATTCCTTAGGAGTTCATGGAAAAGGGATCCTCAGGGGTGGTTACAACCTCTTATGGGTGGTTGTAAGAAATTCAGACAGGGAAAGAAAAGCTCTGAAGGGTTTGTGATATAAAATAACCAGCAGAAAAAAACCTAGAAATATGTAAATACTCAATGTAGTGGAGAGTGATATAGCCAGGATGGTCCAGGAACTCTGCAAGAAACATGGCCTCTCTCATAAAGACTTAAGTAGCTTTCTAAATTACTTATTTTCCTTCTGCCTGGGATTGGCTATTTTGGATTCCACTGAACTGACAGGCAAAGCTAAGATGGAGGGGCACTGCTATGGGTTGGATTAAACTTGTTTAAAACAAGGGGGTATAAAGCACCATCCTTAATTTAATATAATAAGGAGAAACCATTAAGCTTATTTATATAAGCAGGCATCTGAAAGAGTAGTAGCTTCCACCCCAAACACAGGCCTCCATATAATCACTCAGACAAAGGCACATACAAGGCACAGGCCAGTAGGGGCATCTTTTATGAAAGCCTGAATATCTTTAGGAGAAATGGCAGAGAGAAGATAGCAAGGAAATACCAACAGCAAGAAACCGTTGGCAATACAGCCCTCAAAAAGCAGAGAGGGAGGGCATTTGGGCTGAGTGCTGGCTGAAGGAGACTTTCTCCTGTTTTTCTAATTCTTTGTGTGTTCAGAGAAATGGGAGTTTGTAAATTCTTTGTAAACAAACAAAACTGCACCAAAGAAACACCTGAATCCAGCACTGGTTTATCTTCCTAATGGAAACAACCCATGAGGGCCTGAATTACTGGCTCACTGCTGAAGTCAAAACACTACTTTAGAAAGGACACAAATAAAGGGAACATAATAAAAAGATGGAAAATAATGGATGGCCTACAAAACACAGACTGGGAGTGTTTGTTCTATCTATGTCAGAAACACGAGCAATTAATGAAATGTGAAAGTGGGAATTTACAAAACTATACAGCGACAGACCCTTTCATGACACGTGATTAAAGCAGGGAAATCACTGAAATGGGTCAGTTAGGCCAAGAACTTAACAAGATTCAAAATGGGATTGGACATTAGCCTGGATAAGCATATCAAGGTTTTTCATGATTAATGAGGGCAACATTTCTGAAACCTCATGCTTCAGGGCCAGCCAGTTTGTGACCCTTGGAGATCAAGATGAGAACTGAGGTAGGGCCAGATTGTCCTACATTGCAGTTGTGGCTTTGTTACATTTCTTCTGCAGCATCTGGTTTGGGCCACTTCCAGAGATAGGACACTGACCTAGGTGAATCTCCTATGTTCCTCCTGGAAAAGTCTGTCAGGCAGTAGTTAAAGATTATGGATTCAGAAGGATAAAACTCAGAGTAACCCAGAAAAGGGGAGAGGGTTCATTTTAATTGAACTGATTTTGGTTGTACCGGGAGGGGTGTAGGGCTGTCCCCTCTGATTTTCCTTCACTTTTTTAAATATTTCTGAACTAAGTTACTGGCTCAATGTGTATGAAGCCTACTGGACCTCAGCCTTAGTATTTCTCAATGTGTCCTAGCTGTACCTAGATCTAGCTCTACCCACTGATCTCATGATTCTTCCTGTCACTGCAAGGCAAAAGTCAACTTTGCTCAACAAGGATATTTCTTCACATTCAGCCCAGGACTCTGATGGCCCAAGAGAAGAGGCACAACATTGGCCTGAAGCTAACAATTATAACCCTGCCAGTGGACCAGATAAGGAAAAACAATATGTTTGTTTTCCCTCTCTTGCCCTCTCTTACGTGCCTATTTGTTTGGGAAAGCAACATGACACAGCTTGTCATTTAGGAAAATGGTTAAGGAACCACCCTGTTTTTTCACATTCATTTCCTGCATATTTAGATCAATAAATTGGAAAACATTCAAATTCCATCATATTAGTTACTGACCCATTAAGGCCTGAGATCATGCAAAAGAACAATAGCTACTGCACTGGCTTGGGGGGAGAACGGGATATAAATAAACATTCCTTAAATAATGGCATGTCTATCCAAATCTGTTACCTTCCCCAATGCTGCCAGCAACTGGAAGTCAATAGTTTGTCTATGTCTCAGGATTCTAAGTATTCCATCCAGGTACACTTGATCCTTGCTGAAACACCCTGAAAGAGAGTAAGGGAGATAAGTGGGTGTATAAATGGGAGTCCAGGCATCTCCTACCATGCAGAACTCTGTGAACCCAATCTTCATCTGGGTTCACAGAGCAACTCAGGTTAAGTCAGATGGCATCAGACAAGAATAGAATTGGTGTGTATTCAGAATCAGATCAGTGCTGGAATCAGTACTCAGACTGGGGTCTTCCAAGTAATTTATTATGGACCTAGAAAAGGGGGTAGACATGGTAGTGATAAAATCTAACTATGAGAAAATTATTTTGGGTTAGTCAAGATGAGGGGAAACTATGCGGGACTCCAAAGGGGACTGTAACAGGATGGGTCCCAGGGATGTTCATGATACCGCCTGGTTCCCACCTTAATCCTGCCCAGCTCCCACTTCAGCCTCTTAGGGTCTCACCCTGCTTTCTTTCCTGCCACACCTTGATGCTAAAGATAATAAGGGAAGGCTACCCTGGGACGCTGGTGAGCTCTGGGTGCTTTCCCTATTCTGTCCCTTCTTGGGCTCAACCTAGCCCACTTGGTGCAAGACTCTGGCCCACCAACCACAGTCTCTCAGCCTCAGGGCTCCAACCCCACTGCCCACAGTCTCTTGGCATTGGGGCTTCTAATTCTGCTGGCCCTAATCGCCTTAAGAGCTAAATTTATGGCCTCTGTCCTCCTCTAAAGTCATGTCCATGCCTCACGGATGTTATTTTGCCAACATTCTTTGCTTCTGTGTAGGCCTCAGTCCTTCTGGCTTTGGCTCACTTTTATTCTGGCTGAAGGCCTGCAGTCCTGGCTCACTTGTTCTGACTGGATTTCTTGGCCCCAGCACTTTCTGTGTCTTAGGTCTCCAGGACCCTTGGCCCCATAGGGTGTGGTCACACATGCAAGCACATGCATTTGCAGCAGCTCAAATAGAAGCGGTGCAAATTTGAGCTGGGGCTTTTTGCCTCAGTGCACATGCCCGGACATGCATGTGCCCGGACATACAAAATAACCCTGCCTGGCTCCTCCTAGATTTGCAACCAGGGGGAGCTAGAGTTCGGGGCCAGCACCTGTGCTGCCCCAGCAGTATAAAAAGCTGTCCTGTCCTAGTTCCATCAGTACAAAAGACTGCCCTGGCAAGCAGCTCAGGGCTACATGCTCTCAGGAGCTTCTGGGGCCCAGCCAATTGGTACCTGTGGACACTACCCCTTGTGCCAGCTGGACTGCTGAAGCAGCCCTGAGAGTTCCCTGTAATCTTTACCCACTGCAGCAGTCTGGCAGTGGGGGCTGCTGCCTGGCTGTGACCTGCTGCGCACCTGCCAGACCCAGATGGGGACTGCACAGCCAGCAGAAGCATCTGCCCCTCTAGGCCAGCTGCCAGTGGACTGTGGCTGCAAAGTTGGCCTTTGCATGGCACTACTGCCATGTGTGCCCCCT